GCGATTTTCTAGATTGTTGGAAATTCGATTTTCTATAAACTGGAAAATCCCCACGGAATTCCCATATGTACTCTTTGAAATTCGCCGAGCATTTTCCATAAATAATTTCCAACCTTACAGTGTATATGTTACAGGCATTTCTCAAATTCAGGCAAATTTAACATCTGCCTGAATTTGAGAAATTTCTGTAACATATATACGCTTACATAGCAACGAAGAGAAACATAGCTCTCCTCGTGTATATAGCAGAGTTCTATCGTAGAGCGTAAATTCGCCTTTTTCTTAATGTGGCATGCAGAATCTGTATGTGGGACATATGTGCATCTTGTCGTATGTGAGAAAAAGAAGATCTACACGCTAGAATTCTATTATTTTCTCCTCGTTTTAGATCTTCACAACCAATCAATAACTTCTCTTCTTTCATGGGACTTAAGTTGACAACAGGAATGACAGAATCATAGTCAAAAAGGCCAGTCGTAAACGGCAACGTGAATACTGTTTATCTCATACAACATAGTCTGACCGAAATGATGGGTATCATCGAAATTAAGTCTGTTTGTGGCTTGCAGACAATATACCTTAATATTAGTGCTCTTCGACGAACGAATGGGAAATCAACCGAAAGAGCATTTTGCATTCTTTTAATGCACCAAAAACACTTATACTTTTTTGTTTACCGTACCTTTTTTGATCTTCAGCCTACACCGAAAGGTGAGGGTCTTTTAACTAAGTAACCTACAACATTGTGGGGAATAACGTCGCATCATTCAGTTATAATTGATCTATTAGGTCAAGTGGAATTTAAAGATGGACAACTATCAACATCTTCAGAAGATAAATCAGATTCAATTATACATCTCGTATCTGAGGAAAAGTGAATATAAGAAGTGTATGATCAATTAGTACAGATATTGTTGTTAAACCACTCACAAGTCAAAAAAAATATTGGACAGTTGATCGTACTGGAAATTTAAATGGGGATAGATCCATCTGAAATGTCCCACCATTGCAGCAACTTGCTCCGCTTCATTTAAAACCAATCTAGTTTTATAGACTTCATCAAGTTACGTAAGAAATTGTCTTTTCTGATTTGATAGCTGATGCAGAAACCAAGAAAAATGACTTTTACTCTCCCAGCAAAACTTGATGAGCTCTATAAAACTAGTATGGTTTTACATGAAGCGAAAAAACGTTTGTAAAACGCGGAACATCTCAGGTGGATTTGCCCATGGTAAAATATTTAAACAATCGTAATTCAGTTCCAGATTTTATTAACAATCGACGTGTAGTAAGTATTAATAATCGTCTATTGTTGATTGTTGTTATATCTGATGATTTTACTTAATATGTTTAGATTAGTCAAGATTTTGTTTATGAAGTTTTAATAGATTTAAGCGAATCACCAGCAAATTTTGCTCTTTTGTTAACTGTGCTGGTAAGTGGACGTTGTTTCTCAAATTTTCATTTTCAAACCAGTTTTGATTGCCTTTGTTAACTTTTGTGTGTATATTATTATAATTATTTCCTTATCTTGAAAATCCATCTAAAAGAATATTAAATATAAATTCAACTGTATCAGAAGAACTAGCAAATTTTAGTAAAGAACAGAGCATGGA